ACCAAAAACAAAAAACATGTTTTTCTAAGATATACAGGCCAACATATAGGGTTCTTATATTTGATATTATTACTAAAAAAACTATGTCTCTAGGCATGCACTATTTAATGAAACAACATTTCTATATTCAAATAGTACCATTTTTATCAGGTCATCACCATCCACACTTACACAATTGCATTTACCTACTGTATCAATACCATCCATCTCATTACATAATAAAGTGTTATCACCTTTCATCTCATAATCATTTACTTTCATCTATAGTCACAGAATCATTGAATACTCATTCATCTAGAGCCTCAGATTCTTTGAAAACACATGCATCTAGTGCCTCAGAGTTTATTCAAACACTCTCACATGGTTCACAATTCATACCAATACATCATTCTCTTAGTCCATTGCCTATTGATAACTTATCTGCATAACATCCCATCCATGTGGACCATGATTTCCAACATGAACAAATCACTGTTGTTCTTCCTATTCCAATGAATGTGTATCCAATGCAAACAAAGTCCAAGAATGGTATTATTAGAAGAAAGGCTTTTTCTGCACTTGTTGGATCTTCCAAATTGGCAAGAATGAAATTGATGCATTGCATTCTCAAAACACATGGTCTCTAGTTACTCTTCCCGTTGATAAGAACTTAGCTGGATGCAAATGGGTGCACATAGTATATAAAAATGTAGATGAATCTATGGCAAGGTACAAAGTTAGACTTGTAGCAAAGGTTTGGCCATCACCGAAGGCTGGCCAGATGGCTCATTTTAGCCCTCTAGCCCTCCAAGATATTAATATTTTAATGAACAGTATAAGACCATATTTGCTTCCATCTCCAACTGAGGGCCAAAGGGCCATAGGGCTCATTTTAGCCATGTCACAAAAAACTGTCTCCAATCGAGAGCCAAAGGACCATAGGGCCAAAAGGCCAAATATAATTTATTATTTTAATTTAAAAACTACAACAACTTATATTTAAAAACGAAAAGAATTGAAGGACATTATTGAAGATGAGGCCCTTTGAAAATTATTGAAAGAATTGAATGAAATATTTTTTAAAGAGGTAAGAAAATATGAGAATTGAAATGGTGAAAAATTTGTGAGGAATGGTGAATGAATGGTTTAGGTATTTATAGGAAAAAAAATGAGAATTTTAAAGAATATAAAAAAAAATAAAATTTGGCCCAAAAAAAAAAATTGAATCCAACAGTAACTGGCGTCAGCTAGACGTTGCATTTGAAAATTTGGCCAAGCATTCCTGTCGGATATAACCGACAAAAATATATTATATTGTTGTCGGTTATATACGACAGGAATACTCAAATTTATGGCCTAGCCCGGGGTTGGCTAGTTAGCTAGATTGGGCCAAGCGGTTGGCCCTTTGGCCCATTCAGATTCTGTGGGGGCCACGAGCCCTCTAGTCTAGCCCTTGATTGGAGACGGTTTTCGGGCTATTTTTGGCCCTCTGGCCTTTTGGACCATTCGGTTGGAGATGGCCTTATAGCCAAGAATAAGGTATAGACTATGGGGAAGCCTTCAATCCAATGGTCAAGCCTACAATCATTAGGCTAATTCTTGCTTTAGTAGCTCAGTTCAAGTGGCCACTAAGGCAATTATATGTGAAAAATGCATTTTTACATTGAATTCTTCATAAAGAAGTATACATGGAACAACCTTCAAGGTTTCAAAGTTTAAGCCACCTATCCAGTTATGTATGTAAGCTTCAAAAGTCACTATATAGACTTAAACATGCTCCCAGAGCTTGGAATGAAAGATTTACAAGTTTTTTTTTTTACTAGGATTGGGGTTCAAAGCTTCACAAGATGATCCCTCTTAATTTTTCCAACATTCTTCAAAAGGTACTATGGTATTGCTTCTTTATGTTGTTGATGTAATTCTAACTGGTAGTAGCTTTCAGTTAATATCTAGTGCTACAAAGTTTGAAATGAAAGACTTGGGGACAGTGCATTATTCCTTGTGTTTACAAATCAGGTTACCTCTGAGGGGTTATTTGTGTCACAATCAAAGTATGTTGACAACCCCAGCCGCCATTGTCATCGCTAGCATCCCCTACTATGTCCTTTTTTACCATTATATACAATTATATCTCTTTTATATTAAAATTTACCAAACGCTTAATTAAAAAAAAATACCAAATATTTTTACACTACTGTTTACACTCGAATTACTTTTAGAAATACAGTTTATTAAACACTCATATGCTTTATTACAATTGATTAAACTTAAATCACATCATAAGCATTTTTATAAAAAGCGCATTAATCTCAAATTGGACTTTGGGGTTAGATAGACTAGTAGTGAAAGTTAAACTTTTAGAGAGGGGGATCCATGAGTATATGGTATTATTACACATTTAATTTCTTTAGATGTGTATTTTAATAACTATCTATAATTTGTAGAATCTGTGGGCCTGAATATGTGCATGCAAAGCTTAAGGTACAGTAGCCCGTTGTCAGATTAACACACACAGCCCTCTAAGGCCCAACAGTCCACCCTAAAACATTTTTTTCAAGTTGAACACTTCAAGAAGTTCATTTGTGCTTTCAAAAACAAGAAAACCCATGATATGATATGATTGAATGAAATCATTTTTAACCTTGCAGCATAATATAATTTAGATTTGAAATAGGGGAAGTCATGGGTTGAATCTCACAATGGGCTAGCTATAATGTGGTTCAAATTCGCTTTTGACGAGAACCGAACCTAAGACCTTTTACTTACAAGTGAAGAGGAATATCACTAGACTGTAATACTAAATGACCTCTTGATTTCATTTGGAAAAAATGACTTTTTCATAATTTGGTTCTTAGTTTATACAGAATATGATAATATGGTTGTTAATATATACAGAATATGATATGAATGTAACTGATATTCATTTGTTGCACATCCACTCATTAAAATCCATGACAACTGAAAAATAATAGTTGATTTTTTTATCATAAAATTCACGCTAAGATGTGAGGTTGACAATTATGCATTAATTCACAAAATTAACCGAGAAAAAAAATTAGTGAGAGGTGGGATAATGTGTAGAATGTCTCGTATCAGAAGCTTATCGCTTTCTTGTCATCATAGTTTAACTTCCAACACATGTAGGGCTCATTTGGAAATACTTTAAAAATGAGTTCGTTTGGAAGTTCTTGAAAATGGTGGAAAGCACATTTCGTAAAAGTGTTTCTGAGTTTTAAAAGCACTTTAAATGTTTTTTGAAAGAAGCACTCTAAGTGTTTTTTCCAAGATTGACTTGCATTTTTACTAGTGCAACCTGGACAAGTTGGGCGAGTTGGATGGTCAACCCAACCCTAACCCAACTTTCACAATTCAGGTTCGGGTTCGGGATCATGTGGGTTTAGTCCGATTCGGATTTTATTTGGGTTCGGATTTATTCGGGTTGGGCTCAGATTCGTCCAACTTTATCGAGTTTAATCTTATAACACATTGTTGCGCATGATTTTTTAAGTTTTCAACCAAACAACATCAATATGAGTTAAAATTTCATTTGAACATCATCCACACAAAAGTTGAAGCAAACATCTTAGCAACTATTTCGAATATGCAAGCATGCAAGTTGAAATTAAATTACAAGACGTATACCAATGCTTCAACCAAATGAAATGTAAAAGTAATGCTATCATTCATTATCCATATAAAAACCAACAATGAACTTCAAGCATGATCATTCCAAAGTACATAATTTATATAATTCGGATGGGTAATATGTGCAAGAGAGAATTCGGGCTCAAAATCAAGTTGGGTTTGGGTTGACATGGGCGGGCAAGACATCAATCTAACCCAACTTAATAAATGATTGGGTAGAGGTAGGTTGGGTTTGGGTCGACTTTTTTTTATTTATAGGAAAGCTAATGAAAATGGTTTGAAAACTTTGAGTTTTAACGATAAGGACAAAATAAAGGGTAAAGTGAATATTACTAGGATTGACTTTTTAGTGTAAAATGTAGTTTTTCATTAAACTAAATAGTACCGGAATCTTTTCATTAAAGTTCCTTTTTTTTTTTTTTCATTCTAACCTGCCCAATTGGGTTTGAAATCAGGTTAAGCATGGACAAATGCGAGTCAACCCAACCTAGTTGCATCCTTAATTTTTACTAAGGATTTATTTCAAAAACACTTTTATAAAAAAAGTTTTCAGTCATTTTGAAAGCACTATCAAACCAGAACATACCATATCATGTATCACAAATATATAATTCTCCCATACCATATCACAAAAATATACATATATTTTTTATTTACTTTTTAAATTGGTTAAAATCAGGGACACAAATTTTTTAACTCACATTTGACATACATTTGGAATGCATCACACCCCTGCTTTCTTATGCCTCTTCTTTAATGGGGAGTATTACCTGTTACAAGCCAGGTATAGAATAGTGGCCAACTTCCGCATGGATTTTTTATTTTTTTTAGAGCGTATTTGTTTTATATTTTTTTTAGTACAATTATATATTTTTATACTAAGATGAGGGGTGAGTTCGGCTAAGTCACACAGTGGGCAACCTAATTTGGTATCGAAATCGTCATCTACGAGATTCGGACTTAAGACCTCTCACTTATAAGTGAAACGAGATACCATCAGACCGTAGTATTAAGTGGCAATTCAATGTGTATTAAGAGCACAAGACTTTTTGTAAGGCCACACTTAGGTGGCATGCCCACCCAGTCATTTGTGATGTTGGCTCACACACTTACTAGATTCAATAAATATTTCAGTTATTTAGTTAAGTCCTTTCTCTTCTTTTTGATAAGATTACTTACCTAACAATTTTTGTTAGTTTTAACTTCTTATTTAATAAGTTGCTTACTAGTTGACTACCGTTACAATCAAATCCTTTTTGTTTTCTTTCTTATTTTCTTCCTTATAAAAAAAAAAAAAAGCTTATTTTCTTTTACGAAAGGTAGATTATAAATCAAGCTCGTAATGCGTAGTGAGAGACCTTCATGCAACAAACTAGTAGCTGCGTTACGGAGCCCCACTCATCATAGTCTTCTTCCTCCTCTTCCTTTCTTCTCCACTCCAGTTTTCTTATATTTTTAGGGTTTGGAGGAAGTAAAGTTCAGAGACATGTGTTCTACAAGAGAAAAATTAGAAACCTTTCACAATCCCATCAAGCTCTCCCTAATCTTGCCTAACATCAAACCCAAGCATGTTAACTTCATAATCCCCCTGATTCTTTGCTCCATCGTTTCCATCTCCCTCATCCTCTACTTTTACTTCTCTGTACCCCACAAAATTGAGGGCAATTACTCCGTACACCGCAAACCCCTATTTACCGATGAGGAAAAGACGAATATAACCCACATTTTGTTCGGCATAGGAGGCTCAGTAAATTCATGGAAAGACCGGCAGCACTACAGCGAGCTATGGTGGAAACCAAACGTCACCCGCGGGTACGTTTGGCTGGACCAAAAACCCGATCCCAACATGACGTGGTCGGAGACGCTCCCACCGTACAGAGTCTCTGAGGACACATCACGGTTCAAGTACTCCTGCTTGAACGGTCCCCGGTCCGCGGTTCGGATAGCCAGAATAGTGAAAGAGAGCTTTGAGTTAGGGTTAGAGAAGGTGAGGTGGTTCGTCTTGGGAGACGATGATACGGTGTATTTCACTGAAAACTTAGTTGCAGTGTTAGCGAGATACGATCACAATCAGATGTATTATATAGGCGGGATATCAGAGAGTGTGGAGCAAAATGTGGGCCATTCGTACAATATGGCCTACGGCGGCGGAGGATTCGCTATTAGTTACCCCTTGGCGTCTGAGCTCGTCAAGATCTTAGACGGGTGCATCAATCGATATGATCAATTTTACGGCTCAGATATAAGGATCCAAGCTTGCTTGAGCGAGATCGGGGTGCCGCTAACAAAAGAGCCCGGGTTCCATCAATTTGATATACGAGGCAGCCCGCTTGGTTTGCTAGCCGCGCACCCGTTAGCCCCACTAGTGTCTCTCCACCACTTAGACTATGTGCAGTCCATATTTCCGAACCACACCCGGGTTGATTCGGTCAAGAAGCTAATTAGGGTTTCTAAAATAGACCCGGGTCGGACCTTGCAGCATAATTTTGGTTACGACTTAAGGCGTAACTGGTCCATTTCAGTCTCTTGGGGCTACACGGTGCAGTTGTATCCAAAGTTGGTAGCGGCTAAGATGCTAGAAACGGCGTTGCAAACATTTCAGACTTGGAGTTCAAGCATGGGTCCTTTCACTTTTGATACCCGATCCATTATGTTGCAGCCGTGTGAGAGACCGATTATGTATTTGTTCGATCAGGTTGAGCGGGTTGGTGAAGATGAGACCGTAACAACTTATAAGAGGTACAAGAGCGGAGTTGAGATAAATTGTGTTAATTGTGACTGCAGGCCAGCCTTGGAAATTGAATTTTTCAAGGTCTCAGCTCCAAAGTTGAACCCTAAATTGTGGGACAAGGTGAGGAAATTTAAAATTTTATCGTTTAATTAGTAGCATGAATAATCTGGGAAACTTTTGTTGTTAGGTATACTCCAAAATTAAGAATATGGACTAAGTTTTGTTTCATATTGGTAATTTTTTCTTTAAATTTTTTTGTAGACTATTATCGATTTATGCGTTGTGCTATGTAATGGTTAACCGCAATTAGTGCCATATATATGTGTCATAAATTAATTTTGGGTAGCGCCTAACATGTTTTGGCAAATGTTTTAATGGGCAGGCACCACGTAGACAATGTGTTGAGGTCATCAACGGCACAGAAGGAGTTGATAATGTAATAAAATTACAGATAAGAGGCTGCAATCGCTTTGAAAGTGTGACTCCTCCGTAGAAGGTAATACATGGACATTTGACAACATTTGATATACGAATGAAGGTAGAATGTAGCCAATTTTTCCCCTGCCAAGTAGCATGGTTTGATTGATTATACTGTACAAATCCGAGAGGGTTCTAATAGAAAGAGAAAATATGCTACAAACTAGTAAAAATTGCCCACGCAATTATGCGAGTTTTTAAATTGTATAAACTGTACATGTTGAAAGTTCCAAATATGTATAGGATAAACAATACTATTTGCATACATGTGAAAATCTATTTACAAACCTGTTTACATTAGGGGAAAAAATAGGCCCCCAAGGTGGCGTTCATGACGTTCTACAAGTTTATAGCAGTGTTGAACGCCTCATTGTCCAAAATCTTCTAGGTACATACATATATACGCTTATATGTAGGTGTTTTTACTTTACTGTTACCAAAAAAAAAAAAAAAGAAGTTGTTAATGTAAAGAAATGACATATTTAGTGAATATGAGAGAACAATATGTGTGTAGTTTGAATTACGAATAATAATACAACAACAACAACAACAACAAAGCCTTTTCCCACTAAGTGGGGTCGGCTATATGAATCCTAGAACGCCATTGCGCTCGGTTTTGTGTCATGTCCTCCGTTAGATCCAAGTACTCTAAGTCTTTTCTTAGAGTCTCTTCCAAAGTTTTCCTAGGTCTTCCTCTACCCCTTCGGCCCTGAACCTCAGTCCCGTAGTCACATCTTCGAACCGGAGCGTCAGTCGGCCTTCTTTGCACATGTCCAAATCACCAGAGCCGATTTTCTCTCATCTTTCCTACAATTTCGGCTACTCCTGCTTTACCTCGGATATCTCATTCCCAATCTTATCCTTTCTCGTGTGCCCACACATCCCACGAAGCATCCTCATTGCCGTCCTATAAAATTTTCCCTTGAGCTTCAATGGCCTACGACGGTCACACAACACGCCGGATGCACTCTTTCCATCCAGCTCGTATTCTATGGTTGAGATCTCCATCTAATTCTCCGTTCTCTTGCAAGATAGATCATAGGTAACGAAAACGGTCGCTTTTTGTGATCTTCGCTAGATTGCTCCGGTCATTAGTGTGGATAAGTATATAAATGGATAGAGATAGGAAAGCAAACACAAGATGTACGTGGTTCACCCAGATTGGCTACGTCCACGGAATAGAAGAGTTCTCATTAATTGTGAAGGGTTTACACAAGTACATAGGTTCAAGCTCTCCTTTAGTGAGTACGAGTGAATGATTTAGTACAAATGACATTAGGAAATATTGTGGGAGAATGATCTCGTAATCACGAAACTTCTAAGTATCGGAGTGTGGTGTCGTCTTGACTTGCCTTATCTGTCTCATAGGTAGATGTGGCATCTTCTCTGGAAGTACTCTTCCTCCATCCAGGGGTGGTATCTTTAACTGGTGGAGATGCACAAGGTAATGTATCAATTTCACTTGAAGCTTACTTGTAGTTTCAGGCTTGGTCAAGCGCGATACAAACCATGTAGTAGGAGTCCCCCAAGTCGCCGAGCTAGGGGTCTGCTGAAAGAGGTGACAGACAAGGTAAGCAATCAGAGCTCCGACTGATTGTTCACCTTCTCCCCATCTTGCAGCAGCATGAAGGATAAAGAGAAGAAAAATGAGAAGATATGATATGAGATACTTTTGCTTTTGAAGAAGTAGCTTTCCACAGGCTTATTCTTGAACTGAGCTGGAGGGTTTTCTGGTTTCCTCCAGAGTATAAGGGCGACTGAAGAATTTGAGGGTCAAAACAAGTCCATCAAATCTAGAGTACGTTCCACCCTGCTGATATGGGATACTTTTGCTTTTGACAGAGTAATGGATGTATCGGCACGTGTGCTGTTACGCTTGTCTCCACATGCTTCCTTGTATCCTTCGCACTTGCCCTATCTGTTCCTCAAGCAGATGCGGAATCTTCCCTGGAAACATAAGATGTTGAAGATGAGTACTCGAGAGCAATGCCAGGTAAGTAATCAGGTAAGGGGTTCCAGGCAGTCAGTTCCTGGCTGGAAGCTTGATTCCAAGTGCTGACTGATTGCTCTCTTTCTCCTTGTCTTGCAGGTAAAAAACAAGGCCAAAAGAAAAAAACAGGGAAAAAGCATGATATGGGATACTCTTGCTTTTAACCCTGATGATATGAGATATTCTTGCTCTAGTATAGCTTGTTTGCAGAGGTATTATCGGGGGGGAAAAGAAAGCTGAATATTTCGAAAGGCTTTGTTGGGAGTGCCCTCTTAGATATGATGAAGGGTTGAGCATTTTTGCAGGTCTGCCTGTCCGTTGGGGATGGAGGTCGACATATATAGGAGTCTCCCTAACAACAAGTAGTAATGCTATTCCTTTACCCTGCTTGGTCATAGCACGGTAGTGGGAGCTGCCAGTTTCACATGTTTTAACTCTGTCAGAGCACTTTGAAAAAGTGGTCTGTGGTATCTGGCTCTCGAGATTCGGAGAACGATGCCTCTTCGATTTTTGAGAAAGCAATCATGTTGGGGGTCTGACTCTCGAGATTCGGAGAGCAGTGTCTCTTCGATTTTTGAGGAAGTAATCATGTTGGGAGTCTGGCTCTCGAGATTCGGAGGGCGGTGCCTCTTCGATTTTGGAGCAAGCAATCTTGTTGGGAGTAAAGGTTGGACATGTTTGCTAGTCTACCTTGCCACGAAGCACAAAGGTTGACACATAGGGACTTTCCAATTATCCAGCAATGGTACTGTTCCTTTACCCTCTCTTCGATTTTAAGAAAGTAGTCATGTTGGGAGTCTGGCTCTCGAGATTCGGAGGACGGTGCCTCTTCGATTTTGTAGCAAGCAATCTTGTTGGGACTGTTTTCTCGAATGTGAGTAAAGGTTGGGCATGTTTGCTAGTCTACCTTGCCACGAAGCACAGAGGTTGACACACAGGGACTTTCCAATTATCCAGCAGTGGTACTGTTCCTTTACCCTTGTGGGTAATAATATGGTAGCTAGACCTTCAAAATTTATGTGTCTAAACTTTGTTAGTGCTGTTTCTTTGCTATTCTTTTACCTTTCTTGGTCAGAGCGATGTAGTGGGAGCTGCAAGCTTCACGTGCTCAACTTTGGCAGAGAACTTTGGCAAAGTGATATGTGGTACCCATGAGTTATTGTTGCGTGTGGGAAGTGGGTGATTGAACAGTAAGATTCATGTGCTTTCTACTTCACCAGAAGTCTTCGACAGAATGCCCATAATTTCTGCAAAGCTGAGTGTGCGTGTGACAGGTGCTGACAAGGCTAGAAAAGTAGGTGCCTCTTTGATTTCTAAGATCGGCCTTCGTGGTCTCTGAGCAGCCCAGCTTTTGAGAAAGCAAGCGCCTCTTCGATTGATTCGGAGACGGTGCCTCACCGATTTTTGAGAAAGCAATCATGCTGGGGGTCTGGCTCTCGAGATTCGGGGAGCAGTGTCTCTTCGATTTTTGAGAAAGTAATCATGTTGGGAGAGTGGCTCTCGAGATTCGGAGGGCGGTGCCTCTTCGATTTTGGAGCAAGCAATCTTGTTGGGAGTGTTTTCTCGAATGTGAGTAAAGGTTGGGCATGTTTGCTAGTCTACCTTGCCACGAAGCACAGAGGTTGACACACAGGGACTTTCCAATTATCCAGCAATGGTACTGTTCCTTTACCCTCTCTTCGATTTTTAAGAAAGTAGTCATGTTGGGAGTCTGGCTCTTTAGATTCGGAGGACGGTGCCTCTTCGATTTTGGAGCAAGCAATCTTATTGGGAGTGTTTTCTCGAATGTGAGTAAAGGTTGGGCATGTTTGCTAGTCTACCTTGCCACGAAGCACAGAGGTTGACATACATGGACTTTCCAATTATCCAGCAGTGGTACTGTTTCTTTACCCTTGTGGGTAATAATATGGTAGCTAGACCTTCAAAATTTATGGGTCTAAACTTTGTTAGTGCTGTTTCTTTGCTATTCTTTTACCCTTCTTGGTCAGAGCGATGTAGTGGGAGCTGCAAGCTTCACGTGCTCAACTTTGGCAGAGAACTTTAGCAAAGTTATATGTGGTACCCATGAGCTATTGTTGCGTGTGGGAAGTGGGTGATTGAACAGTAAGATTCATGTGTTTTCTACTTCCCCAGAAGTCTTTGACAGAATGCCCATAATTTCCGCAAAGCTGAGTGTGCGTGTGACAGGTGCTGACAAGGCTGGAAAAGTAGGTGCCTCTTCGATTTCTGAGATCGGCCCTCGTGGTCTCTAGGGAGCCCAGCTTTTGAGAAAGCGAGCGCCTCTTCGATTTCTGAGATCGGCCTTCGTGGTCTTTGAGCAGCCCAACTTTTGAGAAAGCAAACGGCTCTTCGATTTCTGAGATCAACCCTCGTGATCTTTAAGCAGCCCAACTTTTGAGAAAGCAAACGCCTCTTCGATTTTCTGAGCAGGCGCCTCTTTGATTTCTGAAGCTCCGTCGAGTGCAGATTTTTATAGGGGCTGGCATTAAGTTCCAAAGCACACTTGAATCTCCACCAGTAGAAGCTTCATTCTTGCACTTCTAAGATCTTGATTTGTCCGACCTCTTCTCTCTTCAACACCTTTGAAAATGTCTGGCCCCTCCGACCGTCGTTTTGACTTGAACCTTGTTGAAGAGGCAGCCCCGCCTTCTCCAGACAACATATGGCGCCCATCCTTCGTCTCCCCAACTGGTCCTCTTACCGTTGGGGATTCCGTGATGAAGAATGATATGACCGCTGCGGTGGTGGCCAAGAACCTTCTCACTCCCAAAGATAACAGACTACTTTCCAAACGGTCTGATGAGTTAGCTGTTAAGGATTCGCTGGCTCTCAGTGTTCAGTGTGCAGGTTCTGTGTCTAATATGGCACAACGCCTATTTGCTCGAACCCGCCAAGTTGAATCATTGGCGGCTGAAGTGATGAGTCTCAAACAGGAGATTAGAGGGCTCAAGCATGAGAATAAACAGTTGCACCGGCTCGCACATGACTATGCTACAAACATGAAGAGGAAGCTTGACCAGATGAAGGAAACTGATGGTCAGGTTTTTACTTGATCATCAGAGATTTGTGGGTTTGTTCCAAAGGCATTTATTGCCTTCGTCTTCTGGGGTTGTACCGCGTAATGAAGCTCCAAATGATCAACCTCTGATGCCTCCTCCTTCTAGGGTTCTGTCCAGTACTGAGGCTCCAAATGATCCCCCTCCGGTGCCTTTTCTCTTTCTGGGGCTCTACCGACTGCTGAGACTTCTCCTAAGCAACCTTTGTGAAGGCTCCCTCTTGTGTGTTTATTTTGACTCATGTATATGTACATATTTGTAGCTTATCGGGGATATCAATAAATAAGCTTTCCTTCATTTCAACGTATTGTGTTAAATACACCAAAGCCTTCTTCGCTAAGTTCTTTAAATTT